TGGCTTTTTTTTTTTTTTTTTTTTTTGCTTCTGTGGAGGTGAGACAGGGGGAGCCCCCGCACCGGAGGCTGTAGGAGGAGATGGCAGCAGCGGAGGGGCTCCCGTTTTAACTCAGCTGGCCCTGCCCCTGCCTGCTCAGCCCATTGGTGCATAGGCAGTTCAGCAAGTGTTACAGACAGACAGAAAGACAGACAGACCAAGGCTTTTATTATATTAGAAAAGAGGTGATAGTTGCAACTACATGAGGAAAGCTAAATTTGTATTTTGCACTTAAATCAGGAAATGAGCCTCTCTTTTTATATGAAGCACATAGAGCATACTCCCCAAAAGCGTTAAGAATGAATATCCTGATAATTTACTATTAAAATGATTAGTCTACAAGTTGAAATTCCTGTCAGAAACTTAAGTGTTCTTTATCAGATCTTTCTGTTTCCTAGTAACCTTAATAACAGAATAATACAGACCTTCATTTAACACTCATGTACAGGCTATACTTGAATAAATTAGCCTGCAACCAAGCAAAATGATTAATAATTACTGTATATGATTGTCATGATTATGAGCTAATAGGCAAAACCATATCACTCTCCATTGAGGCCATTGTGATGCAAGAGATGACTCAGTGGGTGTGTCTACACCAGATGCTTAATGAGCAGAAGACTGACTCTAACGCACATTAGCGCGGCAGGAAAAGCCCATTCTTATGCACTAATATGCAGTAGATTTAGTCTAATGTGCAGTAGCATCACAAAAATACCCCATCTGTGCTAATTAATGGACATTTAACTTAGCACCTGTCATTATAGGTACTAAACATAATGCACCATAATTATGGCACATTAATGAACATGTAGATGCACCCAGCATGTCACTGAATCTCCTGAAAAGTTATAACAACAACAACAAATAATTAAGGTTGATACTATGGATCTTCAACTCATGTATGTTCAAAGATTGTATATTCTCAAGGGAGATTCAAAGAGAAACAAAACAAACAGGTTAAACTGTAGATAAGGTTAAGACCAAGGCCACATGTTGATCATTTAACAAAACCTTGAAGTAAATTATGAACCAAGAAATTAAGTAACTTAGAATTAAAATTACAGTTCAAAGAAATCTAAATATAATAAAGAACAAAAAAGTACAATTAAAATACATAATCAAGCTTACTTCTGCCCTGTCATAGCATAATGGTAAATCAAGAAAATCTTGCCTTAGACATCAGCCATATACCCTGAGACCACATAAACTAACATGCTGTAGTCAGAATTCTGTAGTTATTAATGGAGCAGTTAGGGATTTGTCTCTCAGAGCTTCTATGTTCCTACCAGTTAATAAATTCCCTGATAGCTCAGGTGTTACCAGCCTGTGGTTTTAAAGCTAAAGACTTTAAAGCTCCATCTCTGCTACTGACCTGAAGTTTTGATTGACCACAGTGCATAGGACAGAAGCAACCATGAAATTCCAAAGTGGCCATGCATTTGTTATATCTTTAGCAAAAAAGAGAGAAAGAAAAAGAAAAAAAAGCAAGAATTCTTTGCTTACTGTCTCTGTGACATTGAACACCTCCCAGCCTTCTGTGTACAAAGACAATAATCTTGATGAAATGAGATTTCTTCTCTGGGGCTTACTTCCACTCTCCAAGATCTCATATACTTCCACCTTGAATACAGTAGTACAACAACAAAACAAAATGATCTTCAGAAAGATGGACAGTAAAAATTCACATTTGCTCCACCTCTGGGATGGATTCACATTTCTGTTGCTCCTCAGAAGGAGATTAAAAGAAGTTTCCTTTGGCTAGCTCCATAAAAGGCAAGAATGTATCATTTGCATACCTATCTTGACCTCAGTCAGGTTGGGAAAAGTGACACATAAGAACATGTATATTTGGTATTCATAGTGAAAAAAAGCATATTAAAATTACGGAACATTGGGCAGAGTGCCAAGGTGTTGAGAAAACACTCTTGAAAAGAAGTATCTACATATGGAAAATACTTGCCCATAACTTCTCTCTCTTTCAACTACGTGATATTGTCCCAAAACATCTTTGTTGTTTTCTTTTTAAATTTGGGTTTGCAAATTTCTTGGTTCCTTGGAAATGGACTAAAGCAGTAAGATTTGGACCAGGATTTGAAGCATCTCAAAATATGGCTGTGGCTTGAGCTCATCTTTAAGGAACAGAAAATTGCCCTGCTCCCTTTTGCATAGATAAAAGTGTAGACTGTTTGACAACACAGATGTCTCTCAGGAGAAAAAAAAAAGATAGCTCATCAACAAAGCCCAAACCCTTGATACAATTCTTTCCAGGCTGGAAGCAAAAGTAGTGGATGGAAGGTCTAAAGTGCTGGCAATAATCAAATAAAACATAACAGTTTTGCATATACACAACAGGTGGTTGCACTCCCATGTCTCACTCACCTTTCTTTTCTTGACTTTATCTTCTTAAACACACCCATATAACTAACCCTAATGGCACACATGAATAATTAATTAATGCACAAAGAATCTCACCACTTACTTTGCAAAAATGTTGAAACAGAGATTTTCCAGCCATGTGTGTTTTCTTCAGTTTGAAAACTCTGAGCTCAGCTTTTAGCATTTGCTCATTCTTCCCAACGGATGAGATGTTGAAATAGAAATAAGACTCATCAGAATAAACTGGAAAAGAAACATTGTTGTTGTTGTTGCTGCTGCTGTTGCTGTGTATTTATTTCTTTCCAAATCAGTGTGTCCGCTGGGCACAACACACGCGACATAATTGGGATGGGAATAATTTGATTTTCCAGTTAATGGCAACATATCTTCGGAGATATGCTCAGCTCTACACAGCTCTAGTTCTTTTCGGAGGTGGCAGCAGAAGGCAGTGTAGTGAACACAGACTTAAAAGTAGATGTAGGCAGCAAATCAAAACGCTGCAGCCTACAAATTAAAAGTTTTGGGTTTTTTTGTTTTTTTTTTTGCAAAAATCTCGTCGGTGTAATAAAAGATACCCTCTCTACGAGTCCCGACTGCCCTTTCCTCCAGTCTAGACCAATACGGCTACCACCCGGATCCCTGCAGCCTCCATGAAACGAAGTGTCTGTCTGGGGAGGGCGCAGTGAAGATCTCTGCGACCAAAACAGCCTCCCGTGCCACGGGAGACCCCTTGCCTCGCAGCCCGCCTCGCTTTGCCCGGCACCACCCTTCCACCTCCCAGCCACGGCCACGCGCGCCCGGCCCGGCCTCCGCTCACCTCGGTCTTCAAAGCTCCGCACCACGTTGCCCTCCAGCAGCTCGGCGGCCTTGGTGATGCCGTCGGAGTCCGCCACCTTGTTGAAGAGGTCCACCATGAACTGGGGCGGCTTTCTGCGGGGCAGGACGTCGCGGGGCAGCTCGGGGATGTCGAAGACCTGCTGCAGGCGCTGCATGGCCGCGCTGAGGAGCTCCCCGGGCCGGCCCTGCGGCGCGGGCG